AGCAGGACACCCTTAATTTAACTAAGGCAGACATCTTCTGGTGTAGCAAATGGGACAAGTGGCCAAAGAAGTGTGACAATTCTGACTGGGCTGGACTTAATGCTGCAGTGTAACCACCTTCTAGGCTGGGGCTCCAAGGACAAATGCTATTTGTGCTGCAGAGAGGCAAAATCGCTGGCCTCAATGGTAAGCAGTGGTAGTCACTACCCCGTATAATGAGACATACGTTTATTTCTTAGGAAATGTGCCAAATAAATGGAGACCATTGCCATGTTCGTATTACAATGGTTTCTTTTTGTAGAACTGCAGTTTTCAGGTCACTGGCTCAAAACTGCAGGAACCAGCAGTTTAGTGTCTCTAATACAATGACAATTCCTTCTTCCAGTGGAGCCATGACTAATATGTTGTGTGCACTGTGAATCGTGGAACTCTTTTTATGAAAAGAGACAAGATAAAGATCACTTTTTAATACTTTTGAAACTTAAGGCCTTGTCTAAAATCCAGGAACATCAGAACGATATTGGAACCTTTCCCATTGCTTTCCATGGCATTTAAAAGCTTTCTTTGAAAGACCACCTAAAGTAAGATGTGTACAGATTTACTGCTTTGTGAACTCCAGGGAGTTACAGAATAAAAGAAAACTAAAATATGCTAGTCAGTTTATCTTGAACACAAGACCTAAAGCAGCAGAGTATGGAGAAATAGGTGTGTTTGCTTCAGGGATGAGGACAAAGCTGAATATATTCTCTGTTCTGGGGGACTGTCCTTGTCCTGGAGCTCTTTATTCAGCTTTTCTAATGGCTTTTGAAAAATTAGGTAACCAGAATTTCCCAGAATATTGCGAATCAGGCAGGTCATACTAGGCCTAATTTAGTGGATGTGGGATAATTGCCATTCCTGTAATATTTTCCAAATGATGCTGACTGCAGGGAAAGCTGACACTTTCCTTGCTGCGAGTGAGGATTGGGACTAGGACTGCTTGCTTTTTATCAGTAGGTGTGTGAACAACAGCCTTCACACAATGGATGATTTATTTATCCCTCTGGTTTTGAAGTCTGTAAATTTGAGTTCTACAGACTTTGAAGCCCATATGGGAAAGGCCCTACTTCTGTGTTTAATTCTATTGCAAAATTGCAGGAAATTGTCAATTTTAATTTATAATGTAACTTTTTTACAGGTGCAGATTCACTCTACAGAAATAGTTTCAGCCTCAGTGATGAAAAGCTTAACTCTCCAACTGCATCTATTCCAAGTTTGCCATCCCCATCAGTAACTCCATGTAAAGGTAAACTTAACTTTAACTGTTGACATTTATTCCTAATTCTCAACTATATAGACTTCTTTCTGTGAGCCAGGATTCACATGCATGCGTTGACTCTTTTTTTAAAATTACAACAAAACTAAGGATTACTGTTAAACACACTACAGATGCAAGTATTATTGTGTTGATCATAAACGGCAGTAACGCACTGCATTAGGTGACGCAGCAACTCTTTTGGTTTTGAAACACCAAGCTAAAGAAAATTACAGTTTTTTGGTTAATCAGGGATTGTTGTGCTCCTTACAGAAAACTTCATTTCAGAATTAACTTGGGTTATTTCGAGCTTAAGCAACTTAAGTAGCTTAAGTGACCCATCTATATACAGAAATACTTAGCCTGAATGCAGGGGTGCAGTAGGTAACTCAGAAGCCATATGCTGTCATTCAGGTTAACACAATTACTCAGATCCATGTAGACCTTGCACTGCTGATACAAACATGTACTAGTAATTTCTTCCTCCTTTGTAGCTGTGCTGTTTGAGTGGCTTCTGTCTTGCAGCTGATCTAACTCCCCAGGAGCTTGTTCCTTTCAGGTTAACTTAGATTAACTCTGGAGTAGACATATCAATAAATGAACAGACATACATACGTACTACACAGTGCTTTCATTACCACGAGTCTTCTCAGATGCATGCTCAAGAGCTTTTCACACTTTCACGTTTTCCACATTGACCAGTCACAAAAAAGTAAAATGCTCTTTTTCTAATTAGCATGATGCTAGGGAGAAATGATGACTAACAGTTAATAAGAAGTAGCAAAAAAAAAAGTTCAGTTAAACTGGCAGGAAATACTTGGCAAGGAATTACACTAAAGGTCAAGATGCTCTTCCTGATGAGAAGACAGAAAGACAGAAATAGAGTTGGAACAGGCTTGGAATAGACCACAGCAATGAGATAAGGAAGTAACTTGCAGTAAAACTAGATTGAATAGAACCAGTGGTGTTCTCAGGAGTGGAAGTTTGGTGCATGTTTGGATCCAAATTTACAGTGTATGGACCAAGATCAAAGGATCTGACATCACAGCAAATCCACTGATACTGACATGATCTAAGAGGTTTAGATTTGGGCAGGACTGGGAGCTAATTGGGTAGAATTCGGTTGGGGCCATGAATCCAGTAGCTGAATACATGCAAAAAGGAAGAATCCCACAGTAGCAAGGATATGGATTAGCTGACCTATAGCTTTTTTTCTCCACTTCTTTCAACCTCTGCTTTTTAAGGAAACTAAACAGGGGATTGCTTTGCTTTTGTCAAATGGAAAACTATAAAAACTAGAATTTTATATTGGTCTCCCCTGTTTTCTAAGCATGCATTTGGACATTGCAGCAACCCTATTGAATTTTTCTGAAAATAATCCAGAGCATGTTTGATACCACTGAAAATGATTTGGGGGATTGTGTCATTCCAGTGTTTCTTTTGGCCAGAGAAATATGTCACGTCTAAGCAGTACTGACGGTCTCTTATTTTGCAGCAAAGCTTGGAGACACAAAAGAACTGGAAGACTTCATTGCTCATCTTGACAGGACACTAGCAAGTACGTAGATTTTTACTAGTAGGCTGCATCTCACTTGGTACTGTCAAAAAGTGATGAAAGCCAGTGTATGGGGGAAGGGAAAAGGGAAGGGTAGCAATAGTTTCATATAATGTGGCTTTGTTTTAGTTTGCTAGTCCTATGGATCATTATGTGGATAAGAAGGTAAAATAGACTAAATTCTGGTCTTTGCCTAAATGTTCAAGGTGTGCAGTTTGGCTCATGTGACAAAGGCTGTACTCGGATGAACCTCTGTCCCCACCTCTGAGGCAGCTGCAGTTTGCCCCTCCTTGGCAGTGTAAATCAAGTAGATCAAGTGTAGATCAAGTAAACATCACTTTCTTAAATACTCAAAACTCAGCTAAAAAGTCGGGTTTTGTTTCTTCATTATAAAGCTAGGTAACTGGAGGAGTAACTGTAGCTGAGGGAAACTTTTTTTAATTCTAGACCTCGCTTTATGAAAGAATTAAGGAGCAGATATCTGTATCTATTAACTTAGATTAAATATCAAAATGCTGTTTGTTCTTTTCTTTACTAGGAATGGCATTTAGATCACTTTTTCTGTCACTATCTAGAAATTGTATTTTCCAGTTACAGTACTAGGTTCTTCATTACGATACAAAAGCAAAAAACACCCTCCTATTCCAACAATGTACTCTGCCTATTCTTTCTGCTTTTTCCTGTGCTGTTACGGACATGATACTGTTTTTTTTAATGGAACCAGACTGTAGAGCCCAAACGAACAAATTGTAGCAGCATGAACAAAGCCCCAATAAATTATGAACTGAGAGTTTCTTGTATTCATTAGGTATTTTCTCTTCCGTGTAATTCTTGAAGCCTTGGCCATCTGCCTTGGACTTAAGACAGCTGCCCGTGTGAGCTTCCTACTTTCCTGTCATCTTACTTGTATCTTAATCCTGGTTTCACTTCTCTTAAAATATATTTCCGGTTTCCTGACATGTGTCATGGGCACATGCTTGAGCTAACTCTATCTTTACCACTGAAACCTCATTGACTGATTGCTCTTCTGAAAAACTCCTGAGTTTGAAGGTTTTCGCAGAACAATGAAACCCCCAAACCAAATATTTACATTGCTGTATCTTGCACAGCCATCTTGCAGCTAACTCTTAAGGGGCTGCCTATAGTACATTGGTTCCATTGTCCCCTTGCAAGGCACATTAAGGTGAGGCCAGGGATTGCCACCTGCTGTAGTGGTTTTGGGTTTTTTGTTTGTTGTTGGGGTTTTTTCTCTCCCAAATAAGCAAATATCTAGTTATTTCAGCAGAGTCTCATTTATATACAGTGTCACTTGTCTTACAGTGATACGCTATCTTTATCATACATGGAAATTCTGAGGAAAAAGTCCAACTTCCCTCTGATATTTTTGAGGAGTTTTTGTATTTATAGGCTTAAAGTTACACAGAACTTTGTACAGATGTCTTTTCAAGCCTAATGCACTTGGTAGAAAAGTAACCTTTTGGCTCTTACGTTAATTAAAACCAGGCATAATTTTGGCCTGTCAGACAGTCTAGCAATCTAAACTGGGCATAGATAGGGTGTCTGGTATGTCAACAACATGCAATCTTATTTAATATAGAACTTAATGATCTTTCTTGTTTTGTATTTCCAGGTATGTGAAATGAATCTTTGGCACTGTGCTTGCCTGTGAATGTCCTCTGACGGATAAGTGACATCAATCACTGAGAACTGCTGCCCTTGTCTGATAACTTTGCTCCCAAGATATTCACCTTCTGAACATAACCTTTGTAAACTACAAGTATTTAACTGGCAACATCAGTTTTGTAACTTTGCAGCAGATGGAATAAGATAACTGAAGTGTTACAGCTGTATTTTGCTTTAAAATACAGCTTAAATTTTTAATTTAAAGTTGCTTTTATGAAAATATATTTGTAATTTTATATAGTTGAGAACTTTTAATGCTTTTTTCCATTATAATATATTTTTGTATGCAAATAAACCCTGAACTGGAATCCAGATGTCTGAAAGCTTCATAGGAACATGCAAACTCTGAAACATAAGTACAAATAAAGCTCTTACTGAAAACATCAAGCTTTAAAATATCTGATAAGGGTGTATTTCCTGTTAGGCAAAATATGTTATGCTGGTTTCATGTGGAACTTCATATTTTTCTTTTCAAATTGCTTTAAGAGAATTTTGTACTATGTAAAATTAATACAATCAGGAAAATAATAAAATTGGTCAAACTGTTAGTTCAGATTTGCTTTAATACAAATGAAATAACACTGACTTAGTACAGATTTGAACAATAACACCTATTTCAAACCCTATGTAAAAGCTAGCTTTAAAATTACATACCATTCTACGTGAAATACTAGTTGGGAGGTCAGACATTTAGGCCCATGGGTTTAAAGGTATGGAGGTCCCGCAGTACCAGGAAAATAATAAAATTGGTCAAACTGTTAGTTCAGATTTGCTTTAATACAAATGAAATAACACTGACTTAGTACAGATTTGAACAATAACACCTATTTCAAACCCTATGTAAAAGCTAGCTTTAAAATTACATACCATTCTACGTGAAATACTAGTTGGGAGGTCAGACATTTAGGCCCATGGAGGTCCTGCAGTACCAAGAAAATACTTAAGTGTCTGGATGTTTCTGATACCAGACCCTTGGTCCAAAACAGTCTACCACTGTAAAAAGACTTCCTGGCTGTCAGTGTTATGCTGAAAGAGTGGAAGGTGAACCTGTATTTTTACAAGGAACCTGATTCTTTCCATACGCATTAGGCACTGGAGATGTCATTATGTGAGCTCTCCTCCAGCTACTGCGGGCAGTACCCTTGTCTCTCCTGACTGAGGAACTCGTGCAATTGCTGTCTAATCTGTTTAGACCAAGTGAGCTGGGCTTGTTTGAACTCCAGGTCTCATTTTGACCAAAGCAGGCTGGTGAGCAGTTGCATGAGTTGTTCAGATACTGTGCCCCCTTTGTCTGTTACCATCTTTGAGTGGGTCTGTGTCTGGAGAAGGTTGTGTTTGTGCCTGTGGCACAGCTACCAGCCAGTTGCTTAGGGACCTTAAAGGATGGATTTGGATCCGTCTTCTGCAGCTGGGGGAAAGTCTACTGTGTGTTTGCTAATGGGAATACCATGAGGATGATGTACATCCATCTCCCTGCTTTGGGTTTTCTAAAAATTGACCAAAACTTGGATCTTGTTAAACACGATATGATTTTTCCAGTTTTATTCATTAGTAAGAAAATGAAGTTCTGAACTGGGTCCATTTTAACCAGTCTGAAACAACCTTGAGGTCGTTGTGTGGGGGTTTTTTCCTTCTTTTGGGCAGAAGGGTAATGTAAGATGGTGGAATATTTTTCTGAAGAGGAAAAACTCCCTTCAACGTTTCCTACCATTCATTCAGGTGGTAAATTGTCCCTTAGAACAGAAATGGAGTGAACTGATTTAGGAGGGTGAAGTTTCATGTTGCTCTAGGTGAATTGTAAAGTCTGTGAAGGAGGGTGGGGTGGCTCAAGTCTGAGACAGTGATGTGCTTCTGCATGCTCTGGGACCTTCTCCGAGGCTCCTGCGCAGCAGGAAACCCATTCTGAGCAGCAAGGTAGGCTTGCTCTGGCAAAGACAGAGCACTACGGAAATTCACGGCTACTACATGATAAACATGCAGGAGCAAATCCTCCTTTTGGCTGCCTCTCTGAAACTGAGCGGGGAGCCTGGCCCTTCTCCCTGGTCCCAGATGCAAAGGGATGTGTTGCTGTGCAAACCCAGGGAGGGGGATTCCCTTGGCTGGTGCAGGACTTGCTGTTGCACGGGGTGGGAGAGGCACTGTGCCTTTCAGTGGAAGCTGAGGGAAGGGGAACCAGGAGAGCAGAGACAAGCTCACGCTTTTCTTTTAAAAAACGTCATTAGCATAAGGCATGTTTTTAAAGCTGCTTGAATAGCAGCAGCGGTTTTGGCTGGCTTTCTGCATTTTAATGCTCTTTGGTAGGGTGAACGATGGAGTGGTGGTGAATGGCGGATGTTACTGTCCCGAAGGCAGAATACCCCAACTAAGTGTGTGTTAAGCCACGAGTTTCAGAGGAGGCCACCTCAAGTGATCGTGGGGTATGGGGGAGATGGACAGCTGCTTGTTCCTCCAGTCCTCAGACAGGATTGTTTGAGGCACTGGGCATGAGTTTTCCACTTTCCCTCCGCACGTTCAGTTGTCGCGCGATCCCGTCGAACACTCTGGGCCTTTAATCAGTATTTAAAGTTGGATGTCTCCCTTTATAGTGTGATATCACCAAATTAGCACAGTACTTTGGAATGGCAATACTTTGTCCTTACAGACACCCAGTTTTGAAGATCTTTCCAGTATAAGCAAAGGTTTAAATCAAGGCGTGTTCCTCATGTTGTGTAATGTCAATTGGGGATGGAGTTGGGGATTAAGTCACCATCTGTTTGGGTTTTTTAATCTTATTTATGCGTGAACAGGTGGAGACTTCTGCTTGCTTATACAGCAGTTCTGGAGATCATCGGCTGCAAAATCTGGGAGTGTCTTCTGCGGAGCTGTTGGTCTGAATTCCCTCCAGTTTGTTATGCTCAATTTTGAACATCTTGCTGTGTCAGAAGAAAGGCACTAATGTAGATGTCATTTCACTGGCGTATGCTCATCACTTAAGTTCATCATCTAATTACATATGGCACTGAAGAATGCATTGCTGAGAAAAGTTCCTGCAATGCTCTATCCCCAGCGAGCATTGCTGGAGGCTGCACTGTCCTTATGGACCAGCCTGACTTTTTAATCCTTGTTTTGACCTCCCTCTTGTGCTGTGATGCTGAATTTGGATTCAGAGGAGAGTCTCAGCCCTGTCGTGCCAGAAATGGAAATGAGGAGCTTAGACTAAGCAGATGTATTGCCGCAGCTTAACGTGTGTAAGGTGAGGTACAACAATATTTGCACGTATGCTCTTTATCTGTTGTAAATTCAAGGTTAAATGGATTAGCTTAAACCTCCATCACTGAGGCTTGAGCTAATGTGTCTTATCTTGGGTTTGCTATTGACTCTGTGTGTCCTGGGTGCCGTCACCCAGGCTCAGCTGAATCGTCGTAACTCATTAAGCCTGGTAACGTGCTCATTTTTCTGAGCCCTTCATAAAAGAGAGAAAAGAGCCAAAGGAGGGATTTTTTTTTTCCTGGCTGCATGTGTGTCTCCAGCCACTATTGATGCACTGACAGCCGGGTGAGTTTTTGGGAGGGAGGAAAACAGTTGCATTGGCAGTGATGGCGCTTGCTTACAGGGAAGGGCTCAACCCCTGCTGGCTCCTATAGCCTGTTGTCCCGGTGCCTTCCCCGCTCCTTCGTTACTGGTATTTGCTTTGCAGTACACTCTAGGTGTGGAACGGACTTTCAGCAGGGTTGGCTAATGCAAAGGGTCAGAGAGGGGACGAGAAACCATGCTCACAGCTTCACAGATTCATTTAAGCCTTGGTTTCAGCAGTGGGTGCATGCAAAGAGAAAACCCACGCAAAGTGCTTCTGCCTGCTGGGAAACATCCGTGTCTGCAAACACACAATTTTTTAGTTCATATCATTAATTGTTGCTTTTAGATCATTGTCCAGCTGCTTCACACCCTGCGTGAAGTGAAAAGAATTCACCGGTGGGAAAGGTCCACCCAGCGTGGGTCTCTATAGAGGAACTCAGATGGAGTTCATCTTGGATAGTATTCAGCTCAGACGGATGCGGATGACCATCCGAGAGGTATTGGCACCACACTGGAGCCCATCTTACGTGAGATTTCATTTATCTGCAGGTGCTTAAATGTGCTAGACATGACATCTGCTAGACCGCTGGGGAGAAACTTCCAGCGTTGTGATGTTTGGAAGCAAAGCGAGTATCATAAAGCCAATATGACGGCAGCAGCTCTTGAACTAAATCCAGGTCTGCATACTAACAGCGCGAACTCCATATTCTCAACAGGGAAAACTCCTGTTTTCTATGTTACTTTCTACGTTACTGACTTCATTGCAGCCTGGCTAACAACTCTAGCTGTCTAAATAACTTCACAATAATGTAAGATGATCCTGGCTGCTATATCTCATCGGCTTAGAGTTGTAAACCAGATCTTTTCAAGGTCCTTTTCTTTCTTACAGATTCGAAGCTATCAGTGAGATGCTGTAGATTGGCTTGTGGGATTAAAACAGGCCAGTCAATACAAAGGGACGCTAATGCTTTGGTTGGTTTTCACGTGGCCTTTCACGTCTATGTTTTGGCAACTAAAATATTCATCAGTTCAGCTCTTAAAAACTACAGTCTAGACGCCTGCGCCTCTGTTCTCCCAAGGCACGCAGAGCTCACTGGCTTCTCTGGGAGGCTTGGGGATGCTTAAATGGGCTTCAAGCTGGAAGTGAGTGTTGCCTTCTCCGTAGCATATGGCTGTAATACTGACCACCATCCTTTGGTTCTGTTTATAATGTATTTCAGACCAGTATTTATAATTAAGAACATTGCCCTTGTCTCAAAAAACAAATCACGGTATTTTGGTATATATGCAGTCTTCACATTTCCAAAAAAAAAAATCTTGCTAGCATATCAAATCAGGTCAGGACCGATCCCACCTGACTTAGGCACTTAGATACAACACTGAAGTTAGGATGTTGCCCTTGGCTCCTTCAATAGCCATTACAAGGAGAGGGAGGCTGAATTATCCCCTGATGATGTTCCTTTGCTACAGCGAATATTGCAAAAAACTGCAGATAAGCAGGCTTTTCACTTGGGCTTCTTAATCAACTGCCTAAAGAGAAGTGTGTGTGTGTGTCAAAATAAATCTGCCTACAACTGGCCTTGGGATGTAATAGTTTGTGGGGCTGGAAGAGCAGAGGCCAGGGTGACCTGTTTTGGGGGCTTTGCATCACATTGTGCAAGCACAGCACCTTGCTTCAGCCCTGTGAATTGGGGCACCTGTCCCCCGCACCGTGCCGGGCAGGGTAGCAAAGGGGAGCCCCAGGTTG